AGAAAGATGCCCAGGGGGCTTGGTGGGCAGAGGAGGAAGGCTGTGTGTGGCCTGTGTGTGTAAACACACGTGTGCACGTGCACGCATGTGTGCTCATTGCAGGGAGGGGCTCCTGCTGGCCTCCCGAGTGTAGTGGGAGTGTAGTACTGGTGTAGTTGGTGAGTGGCAGTGGAGGTGCGTTAGCTGATGTGCCCTGCTTCCACACACAGCGTCTCATGGTATTCTCACCATGTCCCAGGACAGAGACACTATCTCCCCACTCTACAGAACAGGAAACTGAGGCTGGGGCTGGTAGCAGTTTGCCCAAGGTCAGCAACAGCCTAAGCCCCCCTGGGTTGATCACATCTAACCTCATCACCACTCGGCTTTATCCTCAGTGCCACCAGGGTCAGAGAGCTTAAGTCCTGTATGACAGTACTGATACCATGAGAAAGCAGGGTGTGCACATGTCTGTGTGTGTGTGTGTGTGTGCGTGCGTGTGTGTGCACGCATGTGTGTGCACATGTGTACAATCTGGTGTGGGGTGTGGAGCTCTCCAGCCCTCAGCTTGCGCAGTTCCCCTCTGGCCCATCCAGGGTTCAAACCCTTGTGCTTCGTGGTAATCGAGGTGGTGTCTTCTTCCGCACTGGTGATGTGACCTGGGTCCGACTGTGACAGTGGCATCAGGGGCCACTGTCGGTGGTCTGTCTATGTGGGAGATTGACTGGCCTGCTTCCCGTCCACACTGGTGTTTCCAGAATGGCAGCTTGCATGTCACCTGCACTCCGGTGGCAACTGGCCCAGCCCCAGGGACAGCATCCACTCCTGTCCCCACCTGGGCACCCCTGTGTGGCCTGCTCTGGGCCTGTGTCGCACGTGTGCTACTGCCAGGACATCATCTGGAGCACCTGCCCCTGCCCTGGCAGGCACTTGGCTCGGATGGAGTCCTCAGCCTGCAGGCCAGCCCAGTGCAGGGGAATCTGAACTCTGCAGCCTCTCAGTAGAGCTGGCCAAGTTCCCCCAGGTACTGGAGATTCAGCTTCTGTGCCTCTAAGGGTGGGGGGAAGCCACTACCTCCTAGGGCCCCTGTGACTGTATGAGGTGACACCGATGAGGCCCAATTCCTGCTGTGACAGTGCCCAAAGGCCCTTCTTCCTGCAGAGCCCAGTGTTGTGTGCGACTGGAGAACATTCTGGAAGCCAGTGGCTTGGACATGCCTCTTGTGACAGACTGTGTTACCTGCTGGAACCTTGGCCTCTTATCTGTAAAAAGGACGAGGAACCCTGGCTTTCTGGGGACTGGGAGAGATGTGAAGCTCTAGGCACAATGCCAGGCTTGTGATGGCTGCTGAGGAACAGAGCCACTGTCCCCAGCAGAGTGGGGGTGGGCCAAGAAGTCTGATTTGGCTGTGAGTGAGTGAGGTGGGCCTGGACTAAGCAGGAGATGGTGGTGCTATGGAATCTGCATAGACAGAGGATGGAAGCTGGTGACCAAGGGGCCCTCCCTTGAAGGCCTTTTGCACAGCCAGACCCTGAGGTGACACCACACTCCAAGTCTCCCACCCTGTCCTCTCTGTAGAGGTGCCTGGTTCTCCCCGCAGAAGGTGTAGCACTGGTGTACCACTCCGGTACTGCCTGAAGGCCGAGGTCGGGTAGTTGGCCTGAGCTCTGCCTCTCACTGGATTCTGCCACAAAAGTGCTGTGGGATGTGGCTCTCACTACAGACATGTACTACCCATGAGGTGCCAGGGCCAGAGTGAAGAGGGGCCGGGTACACCCGTTGGGTGGGAAGTCAGTCAGCTGTGTGCAGTGGAGTAGGAGGTGGCAGGATGGGAGGCAGGGCATCACTGTGCTTGGAAGTGACTCGGGGGGCGGCTCTTGGAGGAAACGCAGCAGTCACCCACTGGCTGCCGAGCATGAGAGGGACACTTTGCAGGGAGAGCATGTGTGAGACCCTTGGAAGGTTTCTCTCTGTCCAGCTTTGCCCTGCGGTCCAGCCAGCTGGTCTGAGCCTGTCCCATCTCTCACAGGACACCGGGGACTGGAGATCGCCTTCGCATGCTCTCCAGCCGTGCTTTTCAAACACAGAACTGTTTTTTGTCACATTCTGTTCTTCTGTTTTGTCCTCCAGGTAAAACACTGGTTCATATCATTCTACTATTTTTCTGTCAAAGGCCCTCTCTGGCTTTTGTTTTTAAAAAATCTTTCATCCCCAGTCCCCGCTGTTGCGGCCTCCCGGGGGACACACCCGCTGCCTCTGTCCCGAGATGAGTGTGTTTTAGCGTGAAGCACGTGGGCTGTGCTTCACCTTTTCCACTCAGGTCTCATGGGAAGCCATGTTCCCGTTACTGTCACATCTGCCAGCAAGCAGGCTTTCCCTGCGTGCGTCCTCATCCCTGTGTCTCCTGGGTGCTGCCCATGCGGGTCCCCTCTCTGGTGTCCAGCTCTGAGAACAATACTGGGACTGGCCACAGTCCTGGAGGGGTGGACGCCAGACATGGGTCGGCAGCGTCACCAGGCCTTGACATCCACCAGTGGGTCTTGTTCTGCCCGTAGCCTGGGGGCCTCCTCTTGCCTCCCTGGCACCATGATTTTCTGAGCCCACTGACCTGATCGTGGTGAAGCATGTGATGGGCATCGTTGCAAGGCTCTGGGTGGACGTGCCATGCACTGGCTCCACTTCCCATCTCTCTGACTTGTTTTCTTGTTGATTTCTAAGTTCCTTACTTGTCACTTTACACATTGCCCGCATCTCCTCTGGTTTGATATATTTCTGTTAAATGCACCGTGCTTTCCGCTGACAGAGATCAATCATTTTTATGCTCTTCTGTCTCTTTCTTTTGCCTTAGAAATTGTGTGTAAGGGGTGTTTGCTGTCTCGTTCTTAGAAGTCCTTTCCTTTGTCAAGACCAAAAGGACTCCCACCGCCTCTCCCCTTCAGGTTCCAGTCTTACCTGTTAGCTTGAGGACTTGAGTCCTTCTGGATTCCTTTGTGCTCTCTGGATGGTGAAGCCACAGCTTGGGTTTCCTCCACATTGGGGATCAGCTCTGCTGCCGCCACCCCCAGCCCCTCTTTCTGCTGTGCCCAGGTCCTGTTGTCTCCGGCCCACCCCAAGAGGTTTTCCCTCTGTGCTTGCCTGTCCCTTTGGTTTCGCTGTTTCTGTTCACGTGCTCCCATGGCCTTTTTGGTGGCACCTTTGGGACATCTTGCAATCATCCTGAGGCTCCAGCTCCTCTCCCCTTCTTTTAACCTGAGCAATGGCTGGGCCTTCTTTTCTGCCAGGCCACTTTAGCTTGAGTTGACCAAAGTCTCTGAAGTCCCCGGTGTAATTATTATTGAAACCGCCTTAAAGTTTCTACACGCCTTTGGACAGTTAACCTGCAAACAATGTGAGCATGATATTTAGGTTTTTTCCTTGTCATTTTAATAATTTAAATTTTTCTCTGGTCTTGGGCATGTAGGTCAATTAAAAATAGCTGATATATTTTTAATTGACCATCTGAATGGTATTTCGTTTTCTGTTATGTTTTCTGGTTGGTTACTGCTGGTGTGCAAGATGCTATTAATTTTTAAGTTCACCGCTCCGTAAGTGTTCAGATTGTGCGGGGTTTTTCTGTAATTGATGCCACTGCTCTAAGTGAGAACCTTGGTGGCTCTCTCTCCCCTCTTCTGATGGTTCTGCACTTCATTTCTTCTTGTCCTCCTGCATTTGCCAGGGCCCCAGGGGGGTGCTGAGAAGCAGCAGAACAGACAGGCTCATTTGCCTTCATTCCAGTCTTAAAAGGGATCCGGCTAAGATCTCCCTGGAGAACGGCGTTAGCTGTTGGTTCTGCTGGGCAGCATTTATCCAATTCAGGAAATTCTCTTCAATTTCTTGTTTGAGTTTTAAAAAATAAATTAGATGTTAAATATGACCTGATGCTTTTGCACACCTTTGCCCGGAAGTCCTTACACAGCTCCTCCCGTGTGCCCTGATGTATTGTGGGTGCTCTTTAAAGACTCATGTTCTTGATCCTTTTAGCAACTATTGATTATTTCCTTCTTACAGATGAGACAAAGTAGGCACAGAAAGGCTGATGAACTTGCCCAAAGTCACACAACCTTGATCCCAATTCTAGCATTTGCAGGGCCAGGGGAAGAGAATAAATGGACACATACGTACCAGTTCTAAATATTTAAAGTTACAAAACAAGCTAACAGACTGTCCAATAAAACATATTCTATCCTCCTGTCTGAGGAAATAGACCTTGATAAAAGGTAACATCTGCAAAGATACCAAGATGACCGAATTGAATTATTACTATGTATTTAGGCATTCCATTGATAAATATGAGATACCTGGTTGGGTAACAAAGTCATATATGACTCATAAATCATGTTTACTCCATAAAACTTAATCTTTTGCCTCCAATTCAACATGACAACTAAATGTTGATGTTATCGAGATTTCCAGTTTGTGTTGTACTGGCAATACTAATAGAAAGGATTAAAAATGAAACCTAATTATGTTCAAAATATATAAACTGAAGCTGTAAACACTTAGCAGTTGAAGTAAATGTTAAAAAACAAATTTCTCAAGCTGTCAAAAAGTTTTTCATCTAAAATTCAGAATGATCTACAAGCATTCAAAGGTGAAGTATAGATCAATACAAATTTTTAAATCAAAGTTATTTCAAACTTAAATTTACGCAGCCTGTGCAAGTATAAGTGTGGCATACCCAGTGCACTTGGTAGCCAGTATGGGTGGTTGGCAGAGGCACTTAGCTTTGACAAGTGGCCCTGGGCCTCTATGAGTATGGGCCACATGGCTTCTTTGTCCCTGCACTGCCCCCATAGCTGCTGTGAGTCCCGTGCTCTTCCAGCTCATTCCTGGGGACCTCTGCTACCCCATAGTGGGGAGGGCAGGGGAAGAAGAGACGCACCTGCCACTGCTAGGACATGCTTCATCTGGCAGCACCTGGTGCCTGCGTGTGAAGGGGAAGGTGTGACAAGGTGGCCAACTGGTCTTTCCTCTTACTGAAGGCTGTCTGCAGCTCAGGTCCTCCTGCAATGCCAAGTGTGTCCTTCCGATGTGAGCTGCAGCATAGACAGGACACCGATCGGCATCTGGACTCGGCTGCTCCTGAAGCATAGACAGGACACCCGTCGGCATCTGGACTCAGCTGCTCCTGTCCCCATGAAGCTGCTGCTGGAGCACGTGTTTCCCCAGGCACAGACTGTGTGAGTTGAGAGTGCATGTTGAGCTAGCACTGTGCTGAGCTCCAGCTCCTGAAGCATGTGTGTGTGCGCGCTCTTGTGTGTGTACATATATGTGTGTGCACTCAGTGGGAAGAGGGACTTAGGGCACTGGCCTGGGTCCCCTCTTAGGTCTGCAGGAGATACTAGAGCTAGTAGGGGCTGGAGTGGAGCTCAGTGGTAGAGGCCCGGGTTCTATCCTCAGCACCAAATGAATAAATTATAGCTGGTAAAGCACAGAGCTGGGGTTAGAACCCAGGTACCTGCCTCAGGCCCGTGCCCGTAGCCATGTTGCTGCTCTGCCAGATTACTTTTTGTTTGTCTATTAGTAGTTGTTTTGCAGCACAGGGGATGGAAGCCAGGTCTCAAGCATGCAAGGAAAGTGCTGTGGAGCTGAGCTTCACCGCATCCCCCTTGTTTGTTTTTAATCGACTCTTAGACACGGTTTCTGGCACTTTATTTTGGATTGTTGTGAATATGTTCCCAAGTGAAGTGGGCCTATTCTTTTCTTTTGCTTCTTTTTACCTTTAGTCAGTTTTGGAATTCAGCTCATACTTGCCTCCTGAAATGAGTGTGTGAACTTCTTTTTCCTATTTTGTTTGTGCTAAGGATAATCTGTTTGGTAGAAGTTACCTAATTTATTTGGTAGAAAGCAAGCCATAGGGGTGGAGCCCTTTGGAGGTGGAAGTACTTTGGTTACCATTTAATTTAGTTTGCTCAGAACTTTAAAAAATCAATACTGGAATTTTATATTCTTCTGGGAACTTTTCTGGGTTTTTGAATGTGTGAGGGGTCCAGGGCAATATGAGTGCTGTCTGGCTTTTCCTCTGCTGTGTCTCAAGCTCCTCTTTTGGGTGTTACTTCCCTGTGGTAGGGCCCAGCCAGTCTGTCTCCTTATTGGCTTCTGCTAGCTTGTAGTCTCCTTTCTGTCACTGTGATGAACGCCTGGGATGATCAGTTTGTGGTGAGTAAAGATTTATTTGAGCTCAGCACAGTTGCAGTCCATATCTGCTTGACTGCTGCCTTGGGGCCTGTAGTGGCTCAGGGCAGTCTCCAAGCAGAGAGAAAGGCAGGCTTTCCCATGTGGGCCTTGTGGTGGAGGCACTTCTCCAAACCACAGAAGCAGCAGCAGCAGCAGCAACTCCCACTGGAAGGTACCACGGGGCTGGGTGGGAGCTGGAACTCAGGTGGGTTGGGGGCCTGTCCTGGTCCAGAAGTTCATGATGTCAAGCACTTTTTCTCCATGATATTCTTGGCTCTGCTTTTTCTCACAGGTTTACTTTATCCTCACGCTGTTGCCACATAACAGCTATGACTGGGTAGTTTTGGAACTGACATCATGGGCTAACCAAGAGACAGTGGTTCTGTGGGGGCATACAGTGATGAGAGGAAAAATAGTTCTTTCCCAGAAGCCCTCAGTGAAGGTTCCTCCATCTCATTAGCTTGGGTTGGGTCACATGTTTCTCTATGAACCAATCACTGTCCTCAGAGGGTTGGGATGTGCCTCTGGGTTGAGTGTGGAATAAACAAGTCCCATCTAAGCCACACATAGAATGGGGGAAAGACAAGTCTAAAGTGAGATGTGGGTGTTCCCAACCAGGGATGCGGATGAGGGAGTCAGTGGCTACCTGCTATTCCCTGATGGCTACCTGCTATTCCTGCTTCCAGCTCTTCCATCGTCCATCCTCAACCCATCAGCAGTCATAATTCTGCTGCTCAGAAGCCTTCAGTAGCTGGACAGCTCTCTGGGGTCCAAGCTGGGGTTCATAGGGTTTCCTAAGGATGTCCTGTGCTTCCCACACCCAGGGAAACTCCAGACCTCTGGGACCTCACTTCTCCCTCCCTGTCAGGGTGTTGGCTTTTGCAGTCACAGTGTTCTTTGTGCCCTCATGTCTTCTGAGTCTCGGTCAAATAGCACCTCCTCCTGAACTTGTTCTTTCTCATGATTTTCTACTCTTATCCTTTCTTTATTGTTCTTTGCACCCAGTGCTTTATGAAACAAATATATTTTCTGTCTCCCTGTAACACACATGTGTGTGCATCTACACCCCCCCCCCCCCCAGCATCACCATTTCCTTTTTCATGGCTGTGCCTGCAGTGCTCAGCACAGTGCCTGGCACACGCACTCAGTAAATACTTGCTGAAGGCTGTAGCCCCAAGCCCATCTGCCACCTTCTCCTAGGAGCTCAGTGAGGGTTCCCTGCTCCTTAATCTGCCTTTGTCCTGGGGCCAGGGTTCAAGGATGCAGGGATCATATGACAGTGACCTGATGTGTGTCCTTGCCATTGGCCTGTCCACCCTGGACCTTGGCAGCAGCAGGCTAATGACACTGATTTCCTCTAACCTCCTTTTCCTTCTTACTCAAGACTGCCAGGATCTTATTAGCCCTGTTTACACGGCCGGGATGTCGAGCGATTAATTTTTAATGGCTTGGTTTATTGCATGTTTGAATGGTTTATTGAGTAATTCCCCCATTTAAGTGATTAATTCCCCAGAGTTCAGAATGACTGGTTAGTTTTACATTAATCAGGGTTTCTGAATGCCAAGAGACAATCAATCAATCCTTCCTGCCAGGGAGAGTAATGTTAAAATACCTCAAGGTACAATGAGGTTAAGCAAAGGAGTAATTAAAACCCTGTTTCTCCTCATGCAGACTTGATGTCTCTCTCACCTCTCCTTTTTACCCCCACTTCTCTTCCCCCTTCCTCTCTTTTCCCAATAAGGCCATTCCTTGGACACAGGTGCTCTTGGGAGGAACAAGTTCACCTGGGCCTTGGGAGGACTTTGGAAATGAGGCTCCACCTGCTGCTGTATGGGGCTGCATGGCCACTGGGCAGGCAGGACCTGATGGGTCCCTGGCTTCTGACCTCCCTCTTGGCTTCTGACTTGCAGGGAAGCAGAGCCACATCTGGCTTTGGGTTAAAATATCTGGTTGCACCTGTGGCCAGACAAAGCTCAGGTGGAACTCAGGTGAATCTCCCCTCGGGGGCAAGGACAGGGTGTGTAGGCTGGGGCTTTGCCTTGTGATCTCACCACCATGGAACCTTGTGGTGAGTCTCCTGCAGTTGCTGTAACAAAACACCGCATACCTGTGGCTTCAAACAAGGATGAGGTTAGAAGCCGGGAATGTGGCATGGAGCTGGACTAGAACAAAGGTGTGGTCAGGATTGTGTCCCTCTCATCACTTTGCCTTTCTCAGCTTGGGGCAGCTCGTGGCCCATCCCTCTATCTAAACTAGCAGCTTCTCAACATCTTACATCTGACTTTCTATCCTCTTCTGCATTTGAAGGTCTCTTGTGATTACGGATAATCCGGATCCTCTTCCCTTTCAAGGTCAGATGATTAGGAGCTTTAATCCCCTCTGCTACCCTAATTGCCCTTGGCTGTGTAATCTGGCATAGTCATAAAACCACAATGGTCAATAGGATACAGACCCTGGAGCCAAAACATTTGACCCTGGGTTCAAATCTCAGCCCAGTCTCTAATAGCTGGGGAGGCTGGGATAAGTTTTCTTTTCTTTTCTTTTTTTAAAATTAATTTTATTGGTACACTTTAGGTATATAATAGTGGGATAAGTTTTCTAACTGTGCCTCAGTTTCCTTTATGTGAAACTGACCTCACTTACTAGCTCCTCCCTTACAGACCTGTTGGGCTGGGGGAACAAGGAGTAGGGCACATGGATTTCTGCCTGGAGGCAGGAAGCGCACTGTAATGGCAGTGTGACATCCTTGAGCTGGAGTAGAAGCTGGGGTGATGCTAGAACATAGACCCAGTTTGGGGTAAGTGCGCAGTGCCTTGGAAAATGGTTAGAATCACAAAACCATTCACAAGGGCAGGGAGAGACCTCAGTGCCCCAGCTCTCAAGAGCCCAGGAATGCTGCCAGCCTTGGGCAAGAAGAGCTGGGGCATAGGAGGTGGTGGCAGAAGGCTCAGCAGACAGAGGCAGCAGACATGGGTCAAGGTTCTGCTCCCTGCATCTCTGGGATGCTGCTGCTGTTCCTTCGAGCATCTATGAAAGGCATTTACAGCTGTCTGAAAACCACAGTTCAGAGCACAGATGGGCCTATGTCCACATGGGGGGTTGTGGCAGGGGTTAGGAGCTTGGGCTCTGGACCCACAGGCGTGGATTTGAATCCTGACAGAATCCTGGACTGGGTACTTGGAGGCCATTCCTTTGCTTCTCTAAGCCTCGGTTTCACCATCCACAACCTGGACACGATGCTGAGCCCTGGCCACTGGGCCGGTGTGCAGATTGAGATAATAGTGGACAGGACCATGTTTGGTGCTACTCAGCACCCTGCAGGTGCTCCTGCAGGTGATTCTGCAGGAAGGAGCTCCCATTTGGAAGTTGCTGAGTTAGAAGCTCTGTGGGGTAAAGGTTTGGCCTGGATCTTAAAGACCCGAGCGGCGGTGGAAGGGTACTTCAGGCTGAGGTGTGAAAGGGTGACATCCTGTCACAAATGCTCCTGCGTGGCTTTGACTTCGGGTGTGTGGGGACCCAGAAAGGGGGTGGGGGATGTGAGCCCTGGCTGGAGCTGAGTTTGGACTTCCTCTTTTGGGCAATGCTTGCTGCTGAGGGGCTGGGGCAGGAGAGTGGCCAGAATCCCAGAGGAGAAGGGCATGTTTAGGAACATGGCAGTGGGGTCACACGGAGCCCTCTGCCAGCAAAGCAATGTATTTAAAAAATCTATACACCAATTTAACAAAAGAATGCTGGTTATGTGCTGGGAATATGGATGTAAAATATAAATATGAACCTGTATGCCTGGAACCTCTCGCTGGCATGTCAGGGAAATGGACAGCAGCCAGCACATGTGTCATGGATCACGGTGACAAGGGCTGTGAAGATGTGATGTGGCAGGGTGTGGAGTGCTCAGGGAGAGGGCACACTTGCTGAGCCAGAAGGATGACAAGCAGCTGGGCCTGGTGCTCCGGACAGAGGGCAAAGCGGGGATAGGGGGCGCAGGCGGTGGTCCCAAGGCAGA